CCATAACTCTTATTTATTCAAATTGTATTAATATGTAAAGACCAAGTGTAACCTATATCATCGTTAAATCTTATCTTATAAAATCAATGGAACTTCAAAATCGTTAAAATTTCTGGCTCCCGCCGCATTGCGCGGGTACACAACTAGTAGTTCAATTAAGAGGCAATCTCTGAATCGTTAAGAGGCGAATCTTGTTTGGCAAAAAAACGTCAGCCTCTTAATGGTTCTAAAACTCTTTGAATGATTTTGTATCATGGATCTCCTTTAACCATTAAGAGCCCTAATTTCATTGTACACAATTACCAAACAATTATATTTCATTTTGCATTGTATCATGAGAGCCTCTTAATCATTCTGACCACTTAATCATTCTGCACCAAATCATTCAACAATTGTCAAACAGCCCCTTAGTCTTTTTTCTAGAAATTAAAGGTTCTAAGTTTTACCAAATTTGAGAAGTACACTTGGAGATTTTGTCGCATATAAGTATTATACACTAAAAGACTTTGATTTTTCTTCCTAACTTTTCGAAATTACAATGAAGTTTTCCATTGTGGTTTTGTTCCATGGTTGTTAGGTGTTGATTTTGTTGTGGTCTTGAATATAGAGTATATTACAAATGCTTGTATAACTGTTACCAAAAGAATTACAAATTTACCAAAATACCCTCCCGAGATTAGCAAGTGAGCCACTTGACGGAAAACTTAACGGTCCTAACGACAATGAACAGTTTTTATTAACTTACACAATTTTCAACAAAAAAAAAACATTAAATAACCATTATATGAGGGCATGCAGTAATTTGATTCAATTAAAATTGATCGATGATAACTGGATCCAAAATTTCAACAGATTACGTCGGTCAGATACTTGGTTATTGGATCCAGAATCCAATAAGCCAAAATGATCTAATCCATTCAGCATCCAATAAATATTATATTTTACGATGATGTTTTTAGTTAATATTTATACGTAGTGTCTTTTAAAAATAAAAATAATTAAGGTTAAAAAATTCAAAATAGTGGATTGATCCACCTGATAACGAATTATAATATCTCATGAACGGACCCGACCCGACCCAACTATCAATTGGATGAGATTTGATCAGTCGTCCAACGTTTTATTGGATTGAATTGGATGACAAAATCCAACATCCAATAGATATTTGAATCGAATCCACCTAAATTTATAAGATTTCAACTAACAAACTCCTCTAAGGGGTTGTTTGGCAGTTGTCGAATGGTTTGGTGCATAATTGTTAGATCCCATAATTCTTATTGTAAAAATAATGAAAAATGCACAAGTATGGAAGTCCGGATGACCGATGGAAGAAAAACTGGAAAATATTCTAAGTGCTTGAAGGCAAACCAGAGATACGGTGAATGGTCCAGGGGTGCGATGAACAGGCATCTCCATTACTCCTTTGGTTTGGAGCATCTAAGAGAATCTTCCAAGTGTTCAATCAGATATACTCAAGTGAAGCAGAAATGTGAAGAATCCTGGTTAAACATATTATCTAGAAGACAGCTGGAGATGACTAATAGACAGCTGGAATTCTGTTACACAGGGTAGTTAGAGATAACTCCTTATTTCTAGATAGATATTTTTTCCTTATTTATCTCATAGATATTTTTTACTAGATTGTTATCTCTTAGACTAGATTGCTAGTATAAATAGTTTTCATGTCTTGTAAAAGAAGTAATCCTTCTCATTACAATTATTATAGTGAAATTGAAGCTTTATATTCTCTTGAATATCATACAAGCTGTTCTTCACTATTCTTCATAGATACGATATATTTAGGTTCATTAACATAAATTCGTGTTATATTGAGAGATTTGAGATCAACAATAATAATTAAGTAGTCAGAATGATTAATAAACTCTCATGATATAGTGCAAAATTTAAATATAATTGTTTGATAATTGAATACAATAAAATTAGGGGGTTGAATGGTTAAGGAAGACTCATGATACAAAATCATTCAAAGAGTTTTAAAACTATTAAGAGTCAGATTTTTTTTTTGCCAAACAAGATTCACCTCTTAACGATTAAGAGACCGCCTCTTAATGAAACTATTAAGATGTAAACAATAATTATTTCTCTTTTGAACTACCGAATCTCTGGTTTTCATCTTATATTCATATTCATCTTAAGCATAACTAAAAAAAAGTATGTTACATATGAATAAAGTTGTGATTTAATGTTTTCTTTATAATATTATTTGTTAAAAACAATAAAAATAACTGATGGCAGATATAAACAAATACAGATATCAAATAAGGAGAGCGTAAACGAACGAAAATACCCTTAAGAAGGACATACTGGCACACGATATATTCAATAATCACTTTATATATTTAATCATAACGAAATTGAAACAGTTGACGATAAAGAAAAAGATATATGGAAGAACGAAAAAGCGTAAATGTACAAAAATACCCTTAAGAAGAACACATCAGTACATGATTTATTTAACTGATAATTCATAGCCAAATAGAAATATACTGATAAAATATCTGATTCATGCTTCATTAATCTTTAAATTTTGAGTGAAAATGATTTGGAACAATATGGTTTTCGGTTTTACATCAAATGTATGTAAAAGCCAAGACCGAGTATCAAAGCGATATGACGTTATGAGATTTGATTCTATGTCGTGCCAACTAATAGAATGACAAAGGGGGGACTTTTTACATAAAGAAAGTAAGCTTAGGGTGCACTAGACTTAACCCTAGGCACCGTCTTGATGACGTGATCAATAAAATGCAGCTGTACATATTAAAGAGCCTTTGGCCTAGCGGTATCGTAGTTTTTATCCTCCTAGGAGGTCATGGATTTATCATCCATTGGATGTTGGATTTTGTCATCCGATCCAATCCAATCCGATCCGATCGAAATTAAATGAATGATTGGATTGGATCGGTTCCATCCATCGGATGTTACTATTGATTATCCATTGGATCAGATTGGATTCGTCCAATCTTTTGATCCAATACTCAACCAATTAATCTACCATTTCAACCAATATTTTTTTTTTGTTATTAATAAACAATGTGCATAAATATCAACTAAAAAAATCGTAAAATGTTAGTAATTATATATAGTTGCTAATTGGATATTAGCTGGATGATCATTGGATTGGATCAGTTCGGTTTTATTAGATGTTGGACTGTCATCCAAGAACCGACCGATCCGATTTCGATGTTGAATTTTTGGATCCAGTCCGATCCAATTACAATTAGACATTCAGTTATGGTCGGTCGGTTCTAATTAAAATGATCGGTTTAAATTGGATCAGATGACTTTCTGCACACCCCTAAAAGACGGCAAACGAAGACTGACCAGGCGAGTTTTACACATACCAGCCTAACAGGGACATGACGAATTTGGGTGAAAAACAATGCCAACGTTTTTATTATTTTATAATAAATAATTACAAAAATTATACCATTAAAAGAATCATTTTTTTAATCAAACAATTTTTAGAAACTTATAAGCATTTGAATTAGAGCTGCTCACGAGTAGAACGACTCGTCAGACTTGGCTCGTCGTATGCTTTTAAAAGGGGCTTGAAAAAATGGACGGGTAGAACGATGAAGAAAAAAACGACTGATGACCGACCCCGATCCATTTATATTTTTGTAATTAATCAGAATTTATACATAATTAATACTCCGTTACTTTTTTTTATTAAAAAAAAAATTAGAAACTCATTTGGTTGGCTTCGGGCTGGACTTCCTCTGGTGAAAACCAATCACCTCCTAAATATTATACTGTATGTAATACGTCATATAGTATCTCAGATATCGATCTTGAAATATTTGGTTGTTGAAGAATCTAGACTTTGGCAGCTGATAAACTGGAGAGGACGTACCTATGGTGTGTAGCTCAGTTGGCAAATAGGTGAAGTGATTTTACCCAAGTACAAGGTAGGTCATGGATTCGATCCCAGGTCCCTGCTAGGCCCAACTACTGAATGAGGCAAAAAAAATACTACATCAAACTGGTGTTTTTGAAGGTGGGTTCCATGTTGGGCTTATTGAAGTTGTCGGTAATCAACTTTTGGTCAAATCGGAGAAAAAATGTAAATACTTTATATATATTCTCAAACTTTTTCCCCCTTGAGCTATATACATTATTATGCTTTTACGTCTTATTTCATTGGAAAAGAAATTTTATATTTTGAATAGATTTATATAACTTACGATCCTATAAAAATCATGATCAGGATAACAGACCAAAAGCTATGGAACTTGGGTGCGAGCCCCCTGCTGAGGGGCCCACTATGCCATAAGCAAGAGAAGCTCCATCCCTCTGCCTTCGGCATCCAGGTTGTTGGGGTCACAGACCGACCATGGAACCATACAAGCTTCATTTTTTTCGTTTTATAATGTAAAATATTTATTTAGGCTTGTTAACTCTCAAGCAAACCCGACCCATATACCAGATAACTATCCAGAAGTTACGAAACCCACCGAAACGGGTTTGAATTTACTATATTAAGCCTCTTGAACAAAAATAATATAACAAACTTATGGACTGTTCGACAGTTGATGAATGGTTTGATGTATAATGATTAAGTGGTCAGAATGATTAAGAGACTCTTATGATATAATGCAAAATGAAATATAATTGTTCGATAATTGTTTACAATGAAATTAGGGCGTTGAGTCCATAATACAAAATCATTCAGAGAGTTTTAGAACCATTAAGAGACATATTTTTTTTGTCAAATAAGATTCATCTGTCTCTTAATGAAACTATTAAGAGGTAAACAAACAACCCCTTAATCAATATCTGGACCAATACAAATAAATTTGAATAAACAAAGCAGGATAGAAATGAGCCCAGAAACACATATAGGAATAGGGTTAAATGGAGAGAGCCCATTTGGTTTGATTTCATACCATCAAAATCACAAGCCCCATTGAAGATCGAAGAAGGCCGCACCACAAAGAACACACAAAAACTCCATTGGAACGTTACTATCCTACGCCTTACACCGTCTTTCCATGCGCCATATCTCTCACACATCGACCGCACACCCCCATCAACTCACCGACCGTCGTTTCTTTCTCCTATTTACTCATCCATATATATAAATAAATCAACCCCCCATTTTCCATCAAAATACACATTATTTTATCTTCAATTTTTTCGTCTTTAGGGATTTCTTCATAATCTTATCATATACCTCTATCGATCACCAATCTGCCCACACAACTATTTGCTTCAAGGTATAATCTTTGTCTATTTCTTGTTGGATTGTCTTTTTATGTTGCCGATTCTACTGTTTCTGTGTGTTTCAATACTGACATTTCTGCATTGATGTTGTTTGCTTCCGATTGTCTGTTTGGAGTATTTAAATGGGTATTTAATCGTTTTCGCCATGAAATTTGGGGCGATCGTTGTTGATTGGCGTATAAATTGATCTCGTTTTGATTTCGTTTAGTTGCAAGTGATTTTCAAACTGATGGATGTTGGTGGGTCGATAGCAAAGTTAGATTATTGGGTCTGTGGTGGTTTTGGGGGTGTTATCTTAACGATATCATATGAAGCAAGATTCTTTTTTTGATGAACTTAACTTTAAATATGCAGCTGGGGTTCTGATTGTATGAAAATAGAACAGTCTGTGCAGATTGAAGATCAGTAATTGTTTTTGTTTTGATTCCTGGTAAGTGGGTGTTTTGGATGAATTTCTTCCTGCAGGCTAAGTGTTTGATTATATGTTTGTATGAATCTTGAATACTTTCATGTTATTGTTTTGATGATTCAATCAGAGTTTTGCCTATAGAAATGTTACATGAAATCATTTGTAACGATTGATTTTGGCATATAATCGATTTTATATTTATACCATATTCATCAAAAAGTTTAACGCCGGTTTCATAGAATTGTGTGTATTTAGACTGGTTTCATAAGTATAAGAACTTGGATCTGAAATTCTCATGTGAATTATTGTTTGTAGGGATGCTGTTTTTAGCTTTGAGATAGTAGGATTCTATGAAAGGCAAACTTATCATATTTCAGGCCATAGTTGCGTCATATGTATCATTGAAATACGTCACGATGTGCATGAATACATGAAAGATATAAGTATGTGATTACGATGATCGACTTGTGAAAATTTTGAAGCAACGTTACGCCACTTGAGATATTCCAAATGGTTTCAAAAGGTTTAAAAATAAAAGAATTAATAGTGGATTTAGTATGGTAAGAAAGAAGAATCAATTAAAAAGGTAAGACTTTGATGGTATTTATTGCAAAATTGGTAGATAAAAAACGAAATGGAGTATGAAGGTAAAATGAAGAAACCCTATTCTTGAAATCATTTGTGGGCTTGTGATTCTTTTTCAAGCATTATCAAAAGTCAAAGAATTATTCTTTGGCCAATGCGTAATGGACTCTAAAAAGATGGGATCTTGTTCTGGAAATTGCATATAAGATGTAGTCTATCCTCTTGGTCTCATGCCTTGGATACAGTTGCTTAAAAAGTTGTTTGATTCTCATGGTTGTTTTCTAGATTGTTGTCTGAAGCTTCTTGAGTTGGAATATTTATTTGTGCATGGAAGAAGATGCCGGATTTGAGACGTGGAGTTCGCCAAGCTAAAAAGGTCGTCAACGTTGAGAATGGTGGTGATGCCGTTGTAGCCCCTACTACTCGTCGTGGGACGCGCAGAGGTAAAGCTCAGGCACCAAAAGCACCTGTCGCCAGTCCCCTAATTCCAGCATATCCTCATCCAATGCCGAGGCCTGCTGGGAGAGGTCGAGGGGGTAGGGCAACGGACCAAGATAAAAATGCTGAGATATTTGGGGCTGGAATCGGTGGCCGTGGACCCCAGTTGAATTTGGATGTTGGGCTTCGTGATCAACTGGCCGTGGGTAAAAGTGCGGAAAAGTTGGCTGCTAATGGCGAGGAGGAAGGAAGCACGAGCCCAGTTCCTGAAAGGGTATTATTTCTATTTACGTTTGATTTCATCAAACACTATGATTTTGTTAATTATTAGCTCTTTGTTGTTTTAATGCCATGTATGAGTTAGATTATCTTCCCTCTTATTATTTTATGAGCTAAGTGTCATCAGATGATGCTTTCTTTATGCACACAATCTTGCTTCTAATGATTGCAAAGTAAAACGACTTATTTCTTGAAAAGTTGGAAGATCTCCTTGCTGGGGGCAGGTTCATTTGGTAGCCGTAAACATTTTTATAACCGTGAGAACCAACTATTCATGATGAATATCACGAATATTTAGGTATATTCATCATGAATAGTTGGTTCTCACGGTTCTCAAAATATTTACAGGCTCTAAATGAACTTTGCCCCCTGCTTGCTATTTGGTTTTTTTGTGGATTAGTTTGGTTTAGAACCTTGAGATGTTAATGCAACCCGTGGAAAAAAGAAATAAAAGCCCACAAATTTTAATAGGAAAGAGAGCATCTTTTCAAAGATTTTTCAAACGAGTGATCGATTTATGGATCTTGGTTGATCATGGGATTGATGGTTCTGAGGGTTTGGCTTTGTTAACTGTTATTGTTCCTGTTACTCTCTCAGGTCCAGGTTGGCAATTCTCCTCCATACAAGTTGGAGAGAAAGCTAGGCAAAGGAGGATTTGGTCAAGTTTATGTAGGCAGAAGGGTGACGGGCGGCTCAGGAAACACAGGCCCTGATGCCCTTGAGGTACATGATATTTTTTTTTTTCACATAAACGTGAATTTCGTTCTTTTAGGGGGAAAATTGATTTTAATCTTATTCGGTGGTGCTTTTTTCCTATTATTACAAATATTTCGTGTATGGAATATGGGTGTAGGTTGCTTTGAAGTTGGAGCACCGAAATGGAAAGGGATGTAGTTATGGTCCTCCTTACGAGTGGCAAGTTTACAGGTAAGCGAACATTATTATTTTATGCTTCTTGAACCTGATTAGTATAGCAAACCCTAATTTCCTTTTTGATGTTTTTTTCCCTCTCATGAAGTGCACTCAATGGTTGTTATGGGCTTCCAATGGTCTATCACAAAGGTCGCCAAGGAGACTATTATATCCTTGTGAGTTCTTCCCTCTGTTTTTCGTTGCCTTTTTGCGGGTTGTCAAACAGATCTCTGAAAATTACCTTTTTTCCTTCTTCTCTAGGTTATGGATAAGCTCGGCCCGAGTTTGTGGGATGTTTGGAACTCTAGCAACCAGACGTAAGGGAAATGTTTAAATTCCCTAAATAGTTTTCTTGATAATTTTTTTTGTAAAATGTGTGTGTACCCAGGCCAACTTGTGCACACCTCGGTTAATTCCATGTGGCTTCCTGAAGATAATAGCCTGAAAAATCTTGAGCGGCCCTAAGGATAATCGAATTGACCACCTATGGGGAGGAGCCCCAAGGCCTGGCCTCTATTTGCCGGTTGATCTGGCCCTCACGTTTTTTCTTGAAGTTTATTTTATTTTTAATTGTGTATAAAAGAATATTTGCTTTTTTGGCAGTCTCTCGGAAGAAATGGTTGCTTGTATCGCAGTGGAGTCTATATCCATACTAGAGCAGCTTCACTTAAGAGGGTACCTCCAAACTGTTTTCTCCCACTTCTACATAAATTTTACTTATAAGCTTCAATTTTTATTATGAGTATGTGACTAGTAATCGTTCTCTTTTCTCAGTTTTGTTCACGGAGATGTAAAGCCGGAGAATTTTTTACTTGGTCAGCCCGGGACGCCCAATGAGAAAAAGTTGTATTTGGTTGATCTTGGTTTAGGTATATATTTCTATTACTCCATTTAAGCTTCGAGATATCTATCCAAAGCCTTAATGGGTTCGTCTTTAGATGCATAAAACATTCCAGATTGAGGTTTACAAGGGTTCCAACATTTATTTTTCTATTTCAGCTTCAAAATGGAGGGATTCGTCTTCTGGTAATCATGTTGATTATGACCAAAAGCCTGACGTGTTTAGGTAATTTCTTTACGTTTTTAATCAAAGTATTAATAACGATCATTTAGGACCAGTTTTATGATTGTCATTGATATGATGTAATCATAAATGAGTAGATTAGGGACTAAATATATGAATCTAATAGCAAAATCAGTGAAACAACTTTATTTCTTCATTAAATGTCTAACACTTGAAAGGAAAAATTACCAAAAGGACATTGTATAATTACCAATATGTCCCTATTCGAGAAGCAACAGTTTCGGTTCACCAACCGGAGAATTTTTTTTCTCAATTGAGCAATAAAACCGTGGGGTCAAGAGTCCTACTTGGCATGCCGGAATGCTTCTCATGATACATGGCTTTTATAGCAATATGCTTTTATTTTAATGTTGATTTGATTACAAATTATATTTCTTATTTTAATAGCGAAATAATAACCGTACGTTTATGCTTTTCGTAATTAAACCTTATTTGAAATTTAATTCTAAATTAGCTTACCTTCCTTCATTGCCTTCAATTATGTTGTATATTTTGTATTTTTGTTTGCCTTTTGTTGATATTTTTTTTATAAATGTTTCACTTTTTAGGGGAACCGTACGTTATGCAAGTGTACATGCCCATTTAGGGAGGACGGGAAGTAGAAGGGATGACCTTGAGTCTTTGGCTTATACATTAATATTTCTTCTCAAAGGAAAGCTTCCATGGCAAGGTTTCATTGTAAGTCATTTTCTACATTTATCAACTTGTACAAGTTCTCGTTTTTTAAAAGACCAAATTACCCCCAACCATAACAGAACAAATTATTTGGCGCAACATTAGACTGGGACAGGATGGGTCACTAAAATAGATGGAACAAAAGATCAGGATAAATGAGGATTGGTAAATTACTAAACTACCCATGTAAAGGTAAAACCTTCCACAATCATTTAACCAGCTAACCTCAGTGGCAAATTACGAAACTACCGATGTCAAAATAAAACCCTAAAACCGTCCACAACTATTTCCAGCCAACCTCAACTCTCACCTGTCAACTCCAGTTCTGTACATATCTGTCCGGTCCAGTCTATACCAAACACAGATTTCTTGAAATATCAAGTTTTAGGGGTTGTTTGGTTGGTTTTCCATCAAGTCCTGTATAGATTAAACTGTTTGTGTGGATTAATATGTCTGTATAGATTTGGAAATTTTTTGTTTGGGAGGGTTTTTTCACAAATGAAAGAAGCGTGTTCTTTAATGAAGAGAGGAGGCTTTGGAAAAAAACTTGGCTTTCCCACCTAGAAGCTTACTGAATAAGCCACTTTCTATATCATTAAGCCACTACCAAACAATCATCTATAGCTGACCGAATTAGTTGTCAGTCCCATTAAAGCTCATTCAGCTGCAACAAACAAACCCTTAATGTTGCTAATAAAAGATTTCTTGAAATTTCAAGTTTATAATGTTGCTAATAAAAGTTTCTTGAAATTTCAAGTTTATAATGTTGCTAATAAAAGATTTGTTGAAAATTTTAAATTCTAAGTTTTGAGATGATTTTTGTGTTGCAGGGCGAGAACAAAGGGTTCCTTGTTTGTAAAAAGAAGATGGCAACGTCTCCCGATGTGCTTTGTTACTTTTGTCCCGCACCCTTCAAACAATTTCTTGAAGTGGTGACCAACATGAAATTCGACGAAGAACCAAATTACTTGAAGCTTATTGCATTGTTTGAAAACTGTCTAGTTTCTAGTGCATCGTTGCGCCCATTAAGAATAGATGGTGCCCTAAAGGTTCAAATTCGATGACTGAATTATGTCTTTTAGTAATTGCGGTTCTAATCTTCCGGATGGATTTGATATGTTGTTTGTGTGTTGTAGGTTGGGCAAAAGAGGGGAAGGTTGCTTACCGATATGGAAGAAAGTGCTCAACCTAGGAAGAAAGTTAGGCTCGGCACTCCGGCTACTCAGTGGATTTCCGTTTATACATCAAGAACACCAATGAAGCAAAGGTATGTTAATATCAGATAAACCAAACAAATTTTTGCAAATTTTTGATTGTATATCCCACTTAAAATTAGGGTCAGAGGTGAGATGTACGCAGACCTATCCTCCAAGGGCGGATTCACATGTACCCCAGTGGGGTCCCATGCCACCACTTCGTGGGTTTGGAGTAGTGTAAAAAAATGAAAATTTGAATAACATTCCGATAACCATTCATTTGGAGGTATGCAGATGTGCATACAAGTAATTGAAGAAGTTTCTTGGTCTATGCACACGTGCATACCGGTCAAATTGCTTACATATTACTTGTATGCATGTGTGTATACCGTCTTGATGAATAGTTACCAGGGTGTATTTCAGTTTTTCAATTTTTTTGCAGATTTCCCAGAATCTGGCTCTATATGTTTTATTGATTTTTATTTACTATGAATATTTTTCCCTATCTTATGGTGAGAAAGGTAAGAAAGGATCTCCACCCTTGGATCAATCCTAATTGAAGAGTTTCACTAAATCAACACTAATGAGAAGTACCGGATCAATTCCCTTCTAAAGCGCAATTCATGGGTTGGTTTGAGATTAAAAATGATCAAGTCACTCCTATTTTCACACGATCCTTCGTCTATATATATATATATATATATATATATATATGTTTGTGTGTGTGTTCGATTATATAAGAACCATAATGCAAGTCTCGTGTAATCATGGGCGAATAACTAGTTTCAATTTCTCTAATAAAGAAGCATGGCGAATTTGTGAAAATGGCAGGTACTATTATAATGTTATGGATTCGAGACTTCACCAACATGTGGAAAAAGGGAAGAACGATGGTCTGTATGTTAGTTGTGTAGCGTCTGCATCAAATCTATGGGCGGTCGTCATGGATGCCGGGACAGGGTTCAGTTCGCAAGTTTACGAGATCTCTCCCGTGTTTTTGCACAAGGTAATAATTATAGCTTGTGTTTCCCATTTGATATGTTGTAGGAGTCCTACATCAAACATCCATCAAACTTGTATATATGTAGGAATCTTCCAGAAATTCAAAGGAGTTTTACATATTTTAACATGGTATCAGAGCTGGTATCTAGCACCCCTACCCAGGGACTTGACACACTCTTTCACCCCCGTTCTTTTCGGGGGAAGGGGCCATCTAACTTCTTCTTTTTTTTGGGGGGGGGGGGTGATGGACACATCAGCTAGACATAGGGGCTGTTTGGTTGGCTTTCCATCAAGTCCTGAATGGATAAAACTGTCTGTGTGGATTATTCTATATGTACAGATTGGGAAGTTATTTTTTCAGGGATGGTTTTTTCATAGTTCGTCATACATGATACATGCATATATACAGGAACCTGCCCCCGCCGCTCAATAAGGGCGCTTTTAGGGAGAAATTTAAAAGGGTTCCACATATTTTAACTGATGTCATATTTGAAGATAAAAATATTTTAATTTAAATGCCCGTTTTGTATTTCAAGGAATGGATCATGGAGCAATGGGAGAAGAACTATTACATAACATCACTTGCAGGTGCATCAAATGGTAGTGCCTTGGTTGTAATGTCCAAAGGTAAGTTGTATTTGAAGTTTAGCTAGGAGTCAAGAATTTGAAATTCCAAAAATACCCTTTATATTATCCGGTGATAGTTGATGTTTTTTTACTTTACCTTTACTAGGGACAACGTATACACAACAATCATACAAAGTAAGTGATGTTTTCCCGTTCAAATGGATCAACAAGAAATGGAAGGAAGGCTTTTTCGTCACCTCAATGGCCACCGCAGGTAGTAGATGGGGCATCGTGATGTCTCGTGATGCAAGTTACTCTAATCAGGTACGTATCCACATTTTTATTTTAGCTTGTCCTGAAATAAGTGTCTAAATTCCGATTCGATCCTTAATTATGAACCGGAGAAATTGATTATTCACTCTATTGTTAAGGATAAAATTGTCATTTAGTTATTTCAAAACCGCAGTAGTTACACATTTCTAAAACCTTGTGATTTGCAGGTGGTCGAGCTTGATTTTCTGTATCCTAGCGAAGGGATTCATAGAAGATGGGAGAACGGATATCGGATTACATCGGCTGCCGCAACCGAAGATCAAGCCGCTTTCGTACTTAGTACGTCCAAGAGGAGATTACAAGATGTCACTCAAGAAACTCTTCGGACTTCTTCTTTTCCGAGCACCCATGTGAAGGTATGGTCTTCTTGTTAGATTTTTTCCAAAATTAACCGTTCATAATGAAAAAGATACAATTTTACCCTTAAAAGTAGAGGGAGAAATATTTCTCCATCTCATAGTGTAGGGTAGAATTGGAAAGTTCAACAGTCGAAAGCGGACACGTGTTTTGAAATGGAGGGGAGTATATTTGTGGAATCCCTCTTTCTATAAATAGGGCTTCCTAGATCACTTTGTGTTTAGGGTTTAGGGTTTAGGGTTTGTTCAACTATGATTATCTCGATGGATGATTAACTCTTTATCTTATGAATTTGTTAACCCGCAGGAAAAATGGTCAAAGAATTTGTACATAGCATCTATCTGTTATGGGAGAACTGTATCTTGAAATTCATAAGAAGCCCGTTATCGGTATGTATCCCTTGCCTTTTACCTTACACTATAACCTCATCTTAAGCTTTATCTCATGTATATATGCATGTGTGTGTGTGTGTATATATATATATATAGGGTCGGGGGGAAAATCGCAAAAAATTGAAAAACTGAGGAACATCTTAGTAACTGTTCAGCTGGATGGTATGTCCATGTGCATATTTTCCGGTATGCACATGTGCATAAAAATCCAAGAAACAACTTAAATTACTTGAATGCACATGTGCTTATCTTGCAGATGAATGGTTACCAGAGTGTTCTTCAGTTTTTCATTTTTTAGATGTTTTTCCCTTTAACACCTCTCTCTCTCTCTCTCTCTCTATATATATATATATGCATACATACACACACACACACATATATATATATATATATATAATTATGATACTACATACCTGTCCCATGTATGGCGCAACATCCAATTGAGACATGACAAAACTGAATTGGACAAAAATGCATTTTTTTCTCCCACTACCGAAAAAAGTGGAACAAAATTCTGGAAAATGGGACTGGATTGGTAAATTACTGAACTACTCATGTCAAATTAAAATCCTAAAACTTCCCACAATTCTTTCACTCATCCGTGCATTTTTTTTTCTGGGAGATGGGAGAAAATTGGTAAATTACTAAACTACTCATGTGGCCATATCAAATTAAAACACTAATATCATCCACAACTCTTTCACCATCTACCTCGCTCGCCCATCCATTTTTGTCCCACCCGAATAGCTGGAACAAGAATCTGTGAGTCGAGACAAGATAGTAAATTACTAAACTATCCATGTCAAATTACACTCCAAAACCTTCCATAGTTTTTTCACCTGTCTACCAAACTCTTGCCCGTCCAGTCCTATCCACTGATGGGTGTCGGAATATGAGCGTAATTAGATTTTCTTTTTCCTTTACATTATCACGAACTGTAGTTGAATTTGCGCTTGCAGTTGAATTTGCGCTTGCATATCTGATTCTTTCTTCTTGTCGGTTTTTCCCACAGGGTGGCTTGTTGGCTATCGTACGAACTGAAATATGGATAGGGAATTCCCGTTACGTCCTTTTGGAAAAGGGTATCATATTTTCGAACTCAAAATCTGCTGTCGTTTAGCCTCCCCGTCACCCTTATCTTTCAAAGAAAAACGGTTTGTTCATAGAAAATGTTGAAAATAAGTCCGACATTTTCTGTACCCGTTTTGTTCAACAACAAACAGGCGAATACATAATTTATACAACGTTTTTCGAAGGGTATTTTTCGTGGCACCCCTATCTGTTTTCGGGTCGGGTGGTGTGTGTGTGTGTGTGTATAGTCAATAAACTTGAGGTCTAAACTGAGAGTTTGTTGGCAGGTTTTGTGAAACTGTAAGTTGTGTTTGTAACTAAATTTATGAAGAAAAAAATTAACAAGAAATGCTTAAGAGATTATGTTGTCTTGATGGATTGGGTTTTTTTTGCTGAATGTGTTATGTTCTTATCACTTGGTTTCTTTTTACTCATTAAGACAGCTGGATGATAAATTAATCATATCTGATAAAAATTAAACATTTATTTTGGTATCTAAGATGTAAAGTTTTAAACATTCAAGTACCCGAGTAACCGGTTGAAAATTAATTTTAGATTAAAGAAAATTCATGTCACTAACCACGTCATCAAATAATACCGAGTTGGATGTCACATCACTCATCACATCAGCATGATAATCGGTTGGTTATCCGGGTACTTAAATGTTTAGAACTTTACATCATAAGTATCAAAATGGAAGTTTCTAAAATGCGTTACCCAAAATAGGAATCAAGTTAAAGTAGGTAAATTTGCTTTTATATTTATAAAATAAGGTATTCAAATTTAAAAAATGATTTTTTTAAAAAAAACATGGATTTTTTTTATTAACCTGGATATCCAACCCGTTATGGGAGTCGACTAATCTCATTGCGATTATCTGCTTTGCGGGTAGCCTGGAGTGATCGCATTTGAACCTTCATGGCCACAAAAGGATTTTTATTTCTCTTTGGATTTAAATCTTAGACCTCCAGACACTTTTGATATATGGAACCCAAGTTCATTCTATTATTAAAGTATTATTTAAAATAGTTTTTTTATAATTAAAAAGCCTATTTATAAAGATAGCTGCTGACTGATTACTAGTCATATGCGATAGAAGTTGGATGACAGATATAAAATGTTACTTATAAAAACTAGATTTTGATATTAAAGTATTACTTGAAACAGCCTTTTTTGTAGCAAAAGAAACTGGCTTATTGATGGTCGATTTAACGATTTTTGTCTTAATAAACTCAAAAAATAAGCTAACTTATAGTTGTCGAACATCATTCCAGGACTTTTTGAGGGAGACGGTGACATGAGTGAGACCTTCACGAGTTGGGTTTTCTCGAAAACTACCCTCTGTCTTTTGGGTGTTGACGAGTCAAGAAGTAAGTAGGTCGAGTTCGATTTGAGAAAACAGTATCAAGTTTAAGCTCAAAAATTCCTTTTTTTTCTTCTAAATAGTGTACACGTTTGAGCTCGAATATTCTTCTAATATTCGAGCTTCGGTTTGCTATCAGTTTTAAGATTCTAAGTTTCATAAGTTTTTTTTTAATTAACCTGGATATCCAACCCGCTACGCGAGCCGACTAATCCCAGGACGACCACCTGCTTTGCAGATAGCCCGGAGTCACCGCATTTGAACCTCCGTGGCCACAAGGGAATTTTTATTCCTGTTTAGATTTGAACCTGAGACATCCAAGTACTTTTGACCTTTGGAGCCAAGATCAAATCAATCAGGCACCGATTAAGTTTCATAAATTTATTTATATATTTCAGTACTTTTTGGTTTTTTCTGGAGCGGCCTCCCCCCTCTATATAAAAAAAGGAACTTAGTATTTGAACACAAATAAAATACACAACTTTCATAATCACATGGCATTTTTGTTGGTATAAACAAACACTAATCTTGCTTGAACTTGTTGACCTTAATCTTGTGATCTTCTCAATTTTGACCATCACACACATATTTTGACCATTTGTACACACATACACACACATATACATATATATATATATATATATATATATATATATATGTACACATATATGCTACAACCCCCAAGCTACCTTGCTCCCTTAGAAACCAAGAACATTGGTCAAATACTCAAGAGGGTGTTCCAATTCCAAGTTTTAACCATGGATATCAAGATGTGGCGTAGCTCGACCGTCAAACCTGACCGTGCTCGTGAGCGGTTTGGCTCGGTGACTCATGAGCCAAGTGGGTCAGCGTCGTCGAAGTTGGTTTGGAAAGTTATTTGGAAAAAGTTGAGGAGGGAGGGGAAGAAGTTATTGGTGAGATTGCCGTCAAAGCATGTCCAAGCTCCTTATGATGAATACAGTTATGCCCAGAATTTCGAACAGGAATCTGAATGGCGAAACGAACTCGACATCCTGTCTAGATCTTTCTCTGTTCGGTACACGAATCGACCTTCTACTGTCTCTTTTAGATGATCAGTTCATCAAGATCGTTTTGATAAATATCTGTTTGTAGGGATTTTAGCAGAGTATTATGGGTGTCGCTTTTTGAACCAGAAATTTTATGTTAATACGTGTTGCATAGAATTTATAGGTAGATGTTTAAATAGCATATCGAGATGATTCATTTAAGATCATCTAAATATTATTGATACAGATACCAACTTCTAGTAACTACTGTAAAATCACTTCTAACTTTGATTCCGACATTTACAATAGATATTAAAAAAATACGTATTTGTATACTTATAATTTTTTTTATTAACTGGATATTCAACCTGCTATGAGATGAAATTGGGTTGAATAACAAATAATACTAAATTGGATTGAATAACAAATAATACTGAGTTGGGTACCACATCACTCGTCACATCAGCATGGTAATTGGTTAATGCTTCAACCGGTTACCCGGGTACTTAAATGTTTAAAACTTTACATATTAGTTACCAAAATGGAAGTTTTGGAAATACGTTTTCCGAAATAGGAATCAAGTTAAAGTACGTTATTTTTTCATGCAATATGCCCTTAACTGGATATCTAACCCGTTATGCGAGCTGACTAATCCCAAGACGACCACATGTTTTGCGGGTAGCCCGGAGTCACCGCATTTGAATCTCCATGGTCACAAGGAGCTTTTTATTCTTTCTTGGATTTGAATCTAGGATCTCCAGGTATTTTTAACCTTTGGAGCTCAAACTCAAATCAATCAAACACGACACTTGTGATTTACTTATAATTATTATTTTAATTCCTTTTGATAGGAATCATAAATTATTGATTGTTGTAGATAATGGTGAATTATTTTTTATCCCTTTTTTCAAATTTTTTATTATTAAATAAAAAATAATTAAATATTAATTAAGTCAATTTTTTCTAATCCAGATAAGATTAGCTGACCTTAAGGATTATATTATTCGCTGTGTTTAATTACGAAAATAAGAAAAAGAATTTTAACCAATTATTATTAATTAAAAGAGTACTCGCATAATGTAGTGAGATATATCTCAATTTCAATGTTTTCTTTTATTATTTATCTATGTCGATATAATACGGTTTTTAGTGGTTTTGAGAAAATAATAATGTTTTTATTTTTGAATAAAATATAAATTTAAATATATGATAAGAATTTGAAAAAATTATATATATATATATATATATATCTATACTATATTATAAAGCATTTGGCTAAAACTCTTAAAACTCTTAAAAACTCTTAAAACTCTTAAAC